CAAACCGAGCAATTGGATTGGATATAGTGATAAAGATTGCAATTAAATCTAGTGATAAAGACAACACCACCGATGAAATTGAAGATGTCGTCAATCAATTGGAGATTGAACAAGACTATTGGTACGAGGAAGTATTTGATGACCGCGTAGTGCAGATACTCAACAGCCAATTTGAAGCATTGGTCTTTGAATCCAACATGAACTAAAAGTGTTTGGAATAAATATTTTACTTTTTATTTGTGTAGTTACCAAGTTAACTTGTAAATAAAAGTAAAATATACTTTTTATTGTCATTGAGTAACTATCTGGTTAACGAATAAAGTAAGAATTTTGTGTATTTTTTATTTATATTGGGTAATTACCAAGTTATGGAATGAAATGAAAATAAAGTGTATTTTTTATTTTTACCTCATAATTACCCAATTAGAGGATAAGTACGTAAAGTGTATTTTTTATTTTTACCTGATAATTACCCAATTAGAGTATAAGTAGGTAAAGTGTATTTATTACTAGGTAATTACTCGGTTAAAGGGTAAATTAAAGGTAAAGTGTATTTTTTATTTTGACGATGAATTACCCAATTAAAGGGTAAAGTAAGGGTAAAGTGTACTTTCTATTTTGACTGAGTAATTACCCGGGCAAAGGGTAAAATACAGGTAAAGGTATAAGTAACCCGCAAACGACGTGGTAAGGGTAGAGGTAGAGTAAAGGTAGAGTGCATTTTATTACCCGTATAACTTTTACCTTACCTTGCCGAGGCCTAGTAGCAGTGAAGCCAGGATTGTAGTATTCAGTTTCAATACGGAGTAATTTGTAGCTTGTGGAGGCTGTATCAACTCGGACTCTTTGTGGTTACGACAAACACACCAATATTCATCACCTTGTTTTAGATCTTGAGTATATGATTGTCATCTTATTTTTTTATCTTGAGTATCTAATGCATGAAACTACGTTGCTACGAGAAATTAAATACAATTTGTAATGAAATATTAATGGAACATATCAAAAAATTTATAAATCTTGAATGTTATACAAAATTCCATACTGAAATTTAATACATGATAAATATTATTTAAATTCTTTTCATAAAATAAAAATATGAAAATAAAAATATTAATGTACAAATTATTAATATTAATATAAAAAATGCCAATATTTTCATATTCACATTGGTATTTTATGCTAATATCAATAAAAATACTAATATTCATATAAAAAATATAAAATTTTCATAATAAAATTTTTCGTGATAAATAAATTTCAAAAAATAAAAAATTATTATTTCCAAAATTTATTTATTTTGATGATTTTTAGTGATTTTTATTTATATAATTGGAATATAATCAGAATGTCAACACGACAATAATCTTGATGATTATAATTTTATGTAAAACATATGATATGTTTTTAAATAAAATATTGTTTTTTATTTATTTTAGTCCTTTATTTGATGCTGAAAAGTTGAACTCAGTTTTGATTTATGTTTGTAAAGTAATTTTTATTTTTTAATAATATTATCAATTCAAGATTAATTAATTAATAAATTATTTATAATAAATTTTTAAATATGTTGAAAAATATTTGTAATTATTTGTATTCCAATGTTTGGTTGATATCACACGTTTTAACTAATTTTTACATTTTGTTGTTTATATATGTTTATCATTTCACCGAAAACGTTTCTACAATAATTTTTATAATAAGAAATTAATGAAACAATAAAATGATTGATTGAATATAATTTGAGATATGAATGATATGGTATTTTGATGACTACTTTCTAGTTTATCAATTTGATTGTTCCATATTGATTAAGATAACAGATAAAAGCTACTCATAGCAAGAATTGATATGAAATACATGTATGTGAAAATTCAAGCACAAAATATCTTGCGAATTAATTAATTTATTATTTTGGATAATATGTATATAATCAACAAAGTCAAATAAAAATTTTGCAACAAAAATGAACTTCTGCAAATAGCAAAAAGTGATGAGTTTTAAGATAATAATAATCAACATTTAACATGTGGAGTGTATTTTACTATATTATATAACTATGAAAACGGAAGCAAGCTCTAAATTAATATGTCTTGCAAAGTGCAAAGATGAAAAGACTAGTAGATGAAGATTGAATACAAATAATAAACAATAATATGAGTTTTTTGATATTTTTATATACTTATAAGTCAATTTATAATGTAAAATGAAGTTATGAGTTATTGAGGTCGAAACACCATAGTGTACATGTGAATCTGTCTCAGGGTTGTGTCATTATATGTTTGTTTTAGAGAATCTTCAAGAAAAAAAAGTTGACTTAATTGAAATCATAGAACTTGAATGAATACTAAATGAAAATTGTAAAGATTTTTAAATTCGATAATAATTTGTTTTTGAAATAAAGTGAATATTTTATCTGATTATGTTAAAAATATATTATTGTATTGGATAATTTACCTTGATTTTGTACTAAATTTTATGTTATGACATTTGTCAATAAATATTTTGAATATAATTATTCAAATGTATAAACACAAAATTGACGCGACTTGTAAAGTACAATAATAAAAAAATAACTTCAAAACCTCAGCATCTCTTTTATAAAAGACTGTTACGATATGCATTTTATTTTAAAGATGGAGAACAAAATTTTCAATAAACATTTATGCAAGATATAGTAAACAAATCAAATTATAACAACATTAGTAAATATTGCAACAAAATTATTAAGGCGTGCAGAATTGATACTCTCATGTGATATAATTAATATGAGATTTGAAAAATAATTTGCTGCACAAGGATTGCAAATATTATGATATGTGATTATTTTAAAATAAAGGTACGCGTTATGTAATAGCTACTATAGCTTGCAACAAATATTTAAAACACTAGAGCTAGATGAACAAATTGTCAAAATTTATGATTTTTTAATTTAAAAAATTGATCTTGTATATTTTGTTTAGGTCTTAGATAAAAAAAATCAATTTTGTTGTCATCATTAAAATTTGAAATTTGTCTCTAATCAAAGTACCAAAATTATGAACTTATCGACTTACAAATTCCATGTGCATTTTTATTTTTGTTAATTTCCAGTTGAGAGTTATGGATTACTATTTAAATATATCAAGTAGATTTTATTCATACGTGTATTATGTATGTAAAGCGTATTGATGTAATTAGAAGTTTTTAAATGAATTTGGATTCATTTGGCAACAAAAGAAGCAAAAAATGTGTTTTAATTTCTATTGATTAATTATTGAATAATCATCATATTTTATGTTATTTTAAATAAATCGAAAGGTATTTTTTAAAATGTCATAAATATTTATAGGATTATATTTATAAGGATGCAAATTTGTTCAAAAGAGCTTTCCACAAGCAGAAGAAGTAAATAAATTTATTTATTTACACTTTTAATGACATTAAAAATTTAAAATAAAGATAATTGCTAGAAACATCTTTTTTTTATTGAAAATTTGTGTGAAATTTTAAGATTTAAAAATCTCAACCTGAAATGACTTGAAATTGCTGTTGATAATATTGTGTTATCTTTTTAAAAAAAGTTAAATCTCAATTAAATTACTTTTGACTGCATGATAATTGTTAGAATCAAGACAATTGAGTGTATAGAAAAAATTTACAAGATTGAAATAATTTTCATAAATTAATTTTGTAATGTGAACTTTTGCTACAAATTAAAAAATAACGTGATAAGATATTTCAAAAAAAAACATAAATTCAATTAAATTGATGTTGGAAAGTTATGATGAATTTTATACATAATGTTATGCATATTTTGTTAAAAGATATCAAATTAATTTTACATGTTTAGAAAGAAACTCGTGATATTTATTTTAATACATTTAAAATATAAAGTGCAAGTCAATTTTGGAAGCTTGACAAGTATGTATGATTTTATTACTAGATTTTGTAAACTTGTTTGTTAGATAATAGCTAGATATATGATAATGAGAAGTGAGAAGAAATATAATACTCACACAAAGTATTAGGTAGATTTTTTGAGAATTAGATGATCATATATTATTAGGGCAAAGCATATTATAATTAGAAAAGTATTTAGAAGTCTCTGAATATGGTGTGACACGATATTTATCGCCATTTGCAATATTTGAAGAGGATGTTGAAAGATTAAACACTGTGATTTTTTTAAAAAAACTTTTGAATCATCTAGATGATTTTTCAAATGAGTGGTTACTATACTTTAACATTAGATTGCAAGATAAATCACATCAACATTTCGTACTCAATGATCTAGGTATACATACTTTTCATAGTAGAACAATTTTTCTTTTTGCTTCAATTGAAAAAACTTGAGTAAAGATTAAAGATTAAAGATTTGTCATTTTTACAACTTCTTTGCAAGAAGAAGTGTCATTTCCAGGTATATAAAACAGAAGACAAAGGTAAATTCAAGCACACAAACAAGAAACTAGGATGATGAAGTCAAACAGCGAGGAGATATGGGTAGTAGAGTTCGTCTAGATTAGACAAGAATGAGAGATATTATATGGTAGGTGGCTTTTAATCATCAACAGACGACTTTTATTGATTGCAAAACCTCAACGTGGCTGGATGGTCTAGCTAAAGGGCAAACCATACACAGTAGTCCTACCTCAGTTTAAAAAGGTTTGGGCCCTCATGTCACCTATCTCTTTGTTCTTCTGCGTGGGTAACTTGCCTCTCGACTCAAACACGTCGCCAGGCGTCTGTTCTCCTCCCTTCGCTGACTGAAATAGAAACCATCTCATGCAAAGAAAAGCTATATTCTTATTCCAAGACCATAAAAGACTAATATGAAAAGACGCAGTGCCTGATGCTTCACATCCAAGAGAACGAAAGCAAAGTCCACTTCTCCATGCGGGCCATGCATGCACACAAAAGTGCCCCCCCAATATTCCATTTGCGTAAACAAACAGACACTCGCAATACAGTAGCATCAAGTTGATAAAGGGCCACGCCCGAGGAGGTGAAACTCCAGATTAAAACAGAGGCTCTTCATGCAAATAAGAGTTGTCCGGCTGACGCCTATCTAAATCTTTTGTTGTGGATGTTCTCATCCCGTCCCGGAGGGAATATGGCCACCTCCGATGTCCACCAAAGCCATCAGGAGTCACCGTACAGGACTTGCGGATCTTGTCCAGTCCTTGAGCTGTGCTGGTCCTCACCGGGTTCGTCAACGCCGATGTGGATCTGACGTCGGGAATGTTACTTCCGGGAGAATGCAATCGGAACACGGCAAGTTTCGGATGCGCTGTGCTGATCCGGTGCAGTACAGTGGACTTTTCTTTCATTGTTTCACCGAAATTCGTTAGGTCCAACAAGTGTTATTTGTTATTGACCTCGTTATAAATGCAGCAATCTTCAACGCTACATCTGGGTGGACTGAGACTGCTCAAGGCTGCCGGAAATTACCCAAACTGTTCATTACATTTAGTTCGTTCATCTTCAGAAACGCTCATTAATATAAAGCACGATTCAGTTCTAGCTTATTGAGCAGGAGACCACATGGACATGATTTTCCTTTATTCTTGGGCAAATCAAACGTCACGAGATACTGTCATAGTACAAAGTTAATCAACTAAGGGAATATAAGTTAGTACTTGTAATCCCTCCTCAAGGAGAGATCCTTCAATGTGTGAGTAACGTTTTAATAATCTCCTCAGAGCTATGCACTTCTTTTAGTATAATTTGCAATGACTTGGTCAAATAAGTAGTAAACATAGTTGAAAGTGCAATTACTGAATATCTCACATCCATAAACATAGCACCGGTCCACATGTATTTTTGTAAAACAACTCGACATGCACGATAAAAAAAGGCGTACTCATTTAAGATGGATATATATTATTTGCCATGAGGATAACTTAATCTCAATAGGACAGAAGAAATTTATTCTAATCCCCCCCCCCCCCCCCCCCCCTTAAGCAGTTGGTCGGCCCTTGAATGATAACAGTAGAGTTTCACTCCAAAGCAATAACATATAGATGAAATCGGCGTGACCGTAGGTAAATTGATCCAGCCGGACGCTGAGGGGCGGGGGCCGGGTTCGATATTCTTCGATCATCGCCATGGTCTGCGGAGCTCACGACGTCGCCAAAAGAGGTGCCGGGATCTGGATAGGGCACAAGGGCGCATGAAGAGTTCCCTGAGGAGCTGGAACTAATTGCGGGACAGTGAGGGGCTGCGGGCATCTTCCGATGGCAATCATACGGTTTACATTGATTGGTCTCAACATCAGGAGCAAATTATATTCCTGCCAGTTATTCCATTATATAATTCTTCTCGTGGGCCCGTGTCTTAAACGGCGTCAAACCCATCCATGAACCGAAGTCGGCACACGGCTACCTCCGGTCCCCTGGCAAAGTGCAAACTGATCACGGGCCTTGAAGGCCTGCCATAACCATGTGGCTCAATCCTTCGACTGTGCTCGAGTTGCCTACCAGTTCAAGAGCCCACTTCCATCGCGACCTCGGCCCCGTCGCGGAATTCATCTGGCGACGTCGCGTATCCGTACGATCGAATTTTCGGTCTTGACACATCTCTTGATGCACTGCCGTCGCAGAGCGTAATGGCATTATTTTGCTCAAGAATCTTATTTTAGCCGATGAGTTTACTATAAATTTATTTTCAATTTCCCTCCAATTGCCCTTGCCTTCCGAACTGACAATGATTTGGCTGTTTTCTTTTTTAGCAAGCGCCATAGCCTGTTAATAGGACCATATTAACAGGATTTGAAAACTACTTCGAAAAGTCTTAACTGTAAAACCCCCCTGCTTAAAATTCCTGTCCTTCAAGATATCGACAAATTTGCAAACGAGTTAAAATCTGCACCAAATCTTATGTTTTATTAATCTTTGCCTCTCGGTGGGGGAACGAAAGAGAGAAAACATCAACGACCTTACCTTAGTGGTAAGGAAATCGGGGGCTCGAGGACAGAAGCGCGCGACGGAGGGATCGCGACGCCGCCAAAGTGGAGGATAAGACATTTTAAATGCAAAAAGAATTAGAAATCAGGTGGGGCCCAGGGCAAGAGCGTCGCGACGGCACACGGCTACATTAGGTTTAGAGAAGTGAAAGTCCGGTCCCGACCACGTGCCTCGAATATGCCGATAATAACGCGCCACCAAAGTTCATCATTATAGTGGCTGCAAATACACGGTCCGGAGAATTCTAACCGGTGACTGGTTTGGACAGACCGCCAGACAAGGCTTGAAAACGATCATTAAATGACAGGAACCGGTCAGCGTAATTGTCGTGGGGTGGCCAACTTACCTTCCGGATAAAGAGACGACTCCCGTCTGACCAGCAGTTCCGGCCGGGTCGTGGGCTCTCCTCCCATGTAAAGTTCTGCTGCGCCCTGCGGTCTCTGGTGGTTGGGTAGCCTGCAGCAGCAGCAGCGGCAGCAGCCAGCGTTTCGTCGTGGAGGAGGATTTTACTCTCGGAGATGGAAGGGAGGAACGGGAGCGCAGCAGCAGCAGCAATTTCGAGGAGAGATCTGAGCAAGACGAGAATCCCCTGCCAAGAAAGCAGAAGAACACGTTCTTTTTCTGCGACGAATGGCTCGGCTGTACTCTAGTGCGGATGGAGCTCAATTCTCCCACAGAGGCGACGTGAAGCGGAAATCTCCTCTCGAGACAGCACAGTCTGCTGCCTCACTCTCTGCCGGGATAGATGAGTGACGGGAGGATTTCCTCACGAGCGACCGAGAGGGCGAACCACCGAGCAAGGCTCGAGCTGCAGCACCAGCACCAGCAGCGGGCGGCATCAGGGGTTTCTGATCCAGTGCATTGATGCTAAACCTTTGTCCTGAGGGGAAGGGAGGCGAGCTGCGAATAGCAAGAGTATAGAGCCGCGAGACTGAAAGGAAAGGAAACGAAGTGGGAGTGATTGTGGTAGAGCCGAGCCCGAGGACGAGTGGGTCGACTTTCAGAGGTGCGGTTGAGGTTGCTGCTAGGGTGATGACGAGAGTGATTTCGAGGTGGACAGAGTAGCGGCTGTTGCTGTGAGGGCGATAGAGCGAGCTGAGTTCTGTGATCGCGAACACGTGGATCTTGGAAACGAGGGCGTAGAGGTCCGTGGACGAGGACGGGTTGAGAATTGTCGGGAGATGTCACGAGGCTTAGAAGCAGGCTCAGAGTGCAATCATGTGTGACCCCGCGGAAGGCGAGGAGCGATAAATTGCTTCTTTCGGATACCGACTCAGTTCTCTCGTCTGTCTCGCTGCCAAAGATGGAGTCCATGCAAATCTCAAGAGACAAAGTTAGAAACTTGAAACGTGAAGGATTTGCCCACCTGAAGCTTTTCATCAAGTCCCGTTCCGGGAAGGTACTGCTCGCTGTTTATCTGGAAATCGCTCTCTCAAACATCACCACCCGTCCCCCCACAATCTCGTTAGAGATGTTAACACTGCACAGATGTCACTCTAGCCCAATACCGTACGCAACCCTCTCATTTCCGTGCACGACTTAATGAGTAACAGTAAGGGGGTGAACATATTACTTCTAACTCTCGTACAGTCACTGTAGTCACATGTTTTTCATTCAAGCTGTCAGATGTTACAACTCTTATTACTCTCTTTGGGCAAGAAGAGCAAATGTTGTTTCACACCCCCTCTAAACACGACGACATAACATATATGGTAGCTTACGATCCGGTGAATGTGAAATTCCCCATGCAGTGACAATTTTGAAACTTGCCTGCCTACCCACGGCATACGACACCTTCTGCCTATCTTTAGTTATAACAGGCAAATGTCCGCACCGAAGACCTCGGTGATCTTGCTACTTGAGCCGGTCTTGTGGACTGACCAGGGCCGTCTTCAGAGGCCATCGTCCTGCACTGAGTTCTCCCCTAGCTCATGTTTTTGTGGATTTGTGATCTTATTTTTTCTCGTGTTTTGACTTCGCAGTTTTGACCGTTCTAGCATAATGGTCCTTGCACCTTTCTTTTCTTGTCTACCCATTTCTTGGCCCCCTGGCCACTCATATCAGTAGTAGTTTCTTCTCTGTTTATGTACACACGGTTACCTTTTTCCGAAATTGCCCCTTGATGTCTCCGACACTCAAACATTACCAAAGAACATGTCTTTGGAATATTTCTTACGAGGATGTGTAAGAGCCCACAGAAGTAGGCCTCCCGTGATTCTTTTTCTCTTTGCAGAGGTCTAATTATTCTGCGAGTGTGTCTGACATAAGACGGACAGAGTCAAGGGGATTTCGTGTTTTCGTGTGCTGTTTTCGAATGCTATTTGTAGCTTGCCACTCATGGACACTAGATCTGGTGCTCTTGTAGAAGGATTCGTTGGAAGATAGCTCTAGTACCACAAGCACCCCGTCGCCCGACGTGCGATCAGTCGAGAAATACGAGGAAGGCACAAGTTTCAGGAAGAAGCTCGTAGAGATCGAACATGAGAACTCTTGGATACGCATTCACACTCGCGGGAATAGACCGCCTCCACGGTTTCATGTGAGTTCTTCTAGCGGGTCGCTTCCTTCATCCCTGCACAGAATGTTCTGCTTGGCTGAGGAATACGATGCATGCTGCTACCTTCGAGGTCGTTGAAATGACAGCTGATAGGATTGCGTGATGGTTATGCAGCATGCCGCAGCGGTCGTGGGTCGCAAGCTACTCATCATTGGTGGTGAGACGGGATCAGAATTGCTCAACGATGTACAGGTGTGTTTCACTCCCAGCTTCCGTGTGCCGCATTCGAATTGAGAGATGGAACGGTGTTGGACGACTTTCTTGAATCAGCTCAGTCCCCTGAAGGCATGTTTCGCCTCGTGCAGAGACTGAAGACGAAGGTGCTTTTGATTGAAGTCGAAATCTTACCTCAGTGTTCTGTCTTGGTTGAGGATAGATGTTCCACTTGGGAAAACTTTCTTGGTCGAGCATTGGAGTTGGAGCGTCCGCGCCATCTAAAGGCTTGCCCCAGAAAACAAGCCCTGCTCAGGAACTTCCGAAATGCAAAGGCCACAGTCTGGTGAGGCCTTGCTGTGGTTGCAGCTCTCTGCCGTAATTGTTGGACGAATGATAGACATCGGAGTTTGCAGATGATAGACAGCTTTTGTTCTGTCGACTACCTTACTTGTTAAATGAGGGAAGTCGATGCCAACGTCCCGGTGGCCATTGCTCTAAACCTACAGTGTGTGTCGTTGTGTACGATCAGATCTCATGGGGCAAAACCGTAATCCTTATCGCAGGCCAGATGGACCCACCTGTCGATAAAGTCACTGGTAATCTTTCCGCCAATCTTTCTTAAAACATGTACCAAAGCTAGATTCACACTACAATTCAAACTACAATAGGCACGTCGATTGTAAATGTGGAAGTGGAGGATATTCGTATTTTAATATTGATTTCTTGATTTCTTGCAGTTTGGTCCTTCGATTTGGAGATGGATTGCTGGACTAAAGTGGCAACGAAGGGAGAAATTCCGGTTGGTTCTCAGACCCAGCAGCATTTCGGATATTCGCCGTTCTTTCCGTAGAGGCCAGGCCACTCAGCTCAGCTCAGTCAGGATGATAGATTATCAATGTCATGTAATAACTTCTTCCGAAATGTGGAGTCACTCCAAAAAAAAGTGGTGTACATCCATTGAAAAACCTCAGTCCGTTGTTTCAGTAGGACTGAAGAAGATTCTAACGTCGAGGGAGTATGGTGTCTTGCAGTCCGCACGTAGCGGCCAGACAGTCACTCGTGCTGGTTCTATCTTGATCATGTTCGGAGGAGAGGATGCTAAAGGGCGGAAGCTGAATGATCTGCATATTCTGGATTTGAAGTCGCTGATGTGGTTACCCCTGCACACATCGTAAGTAGCATTTTTCGAGTCACGAGAATTGTCTCAACACGAAGTATTCTCCCGATTCTCCTTCTTGGGGCTGAGACTGGTCTGTTTCTCCGATGCAGGGGTAACGGCCCGTCACCTCGAACGAAACATATTGCCGAAATGTACGACGACAGATTTTTGTTGATCTTTGGCGGAGTGACTCGGTCCAAAATTTCGAACGACATCTTTGCCCTGGATTTCGACACTGTAAGTTTTCTGCATTCGTGGCGGTTGCGTACAATGTCCGGTTGCAACGTTTGTGTTTAAGCATCCGTCTGCAGGACGCAACATGGCGTCGCTCTCTCCAAACAATTTCGAAAATAAACGCCCGTTCTGTACCAACCTGACATGATTCCATCCAGCAGATTGACATCTGTAATCATAAAGTCTCTCGGGTAGGTCGACCGCATTTGCTCCGAAGAGCTGGTCAGGGTTTTCTTTTGACTTGAACAGACATAATGACACTCCCGGCCTCGTCTGCTGCAGATGGAGTGGTCGCGATTGAAGACGAGGGGTCTTCCTCCGACCCCAAGGGCCGGTCACGCAGGCGTTTTGGTTGGAGACAAATGGTACATCGTCGGGGGAGAATCTCGCGTACCTGGTTAGTAGGATTGGGATTGCAATTACTGCGCCGACCTTTCAGCCACTACTCGAGAGTTCTTTTTTTGGCCTCAGACTAACTGGTATTCTGCTTTCTAATCCAGGTATCTTGGAAACCAGTGCTCTAAACATTTCGCTCATGACATGGTCCGTGGTTGCACCGGCATCACCAGACACCGTGACTTCTCACCAGGTCAGTCGCTTGCCAGTCGTAGATCTTCTCGATAGGAGAAGAAATCGCGCTCATCTCTTTACAAGTTCCTAACGCGGTCTTAATAAGTTCCAGAGTTCAAATGTGTTTACGGAAAGTTGGACAACCTCCGCTAACATTTTATAAATCCGTAATTATCAGGGATACTGAGGCCACCATTGTTTCTCGCCAATTGCAGGGTCTTAGTGTCGTCTTTGTTCAAAGGAAAGAAAAGAAATTTCTAGTTGCCTATGGAGGACGTGGTACAGAAGCCTCCAGTACGGTGAGTTCTCAGTTTTGCTACTCATTGTGTACACGACTAACGATTTTCCGATGTGAGAGTTATTGTCTGTGTTTATTAGGTTTGACATCTTTTGAAGCTTTGGGAGTTTGTATTAACACCACTTGGTTTTCTGCAGGTTCAAGTTCTGTACCTACCACCCGCGGAAGAATCGACAGCCCCCAAAACTTTGGGCGGATTGCTGGGGGTACCTTCAACTCCCGAACCTTCTCACTCTTCAACTCCGGAGAACCAACAACCTTCTCGTCAACACGGATCCTTACCCAGTTTGCTGGGCTCGACCATGCCTTGTGCATGTGTCAATGTCGCCAAAAGTAACTTGGTATCTGTTCTAGAGCATCGCTCTTCTCAAAAATCAGGCTCTGGAGCATTTGTCGATGACCACCTATACGACTCCAATTCCGGGTTGATCCCTTTAAGGAAGAGATATGCTATCAGTCAAGAATCTATGAGAGACTCGTTCGCGAAGAGATCGGATTCAGTGAAGTCGGCGGACTCAGTGGCGCTGGATACTTTCGAGGTACTTCATTCGTTCCTTTACATTTTTTGTTTCTCTCGGAAGGATTGTGTGGCAGATAATTCTTTTTCCACTTCATACTTTGCGGAATTCTGACATTCTCCTCTTTCTACAGTACTTTTGATATTCCAGAAGTGATTTTTGCTTTTCCGCAGTTCCACCATAGCGAACACTAGAGGTTTTGGTGCTAACCTGGTACCTGGATCTCTTTTGTCCTGGGTAGGGAAAAGAGAGGCAGCATGAAACTGCACAGAGCATCAGAGGGGATATGCAAAGCTCAACCACATCAGTAGATTCTGGCTTGCTAAGTGCAGAGGATTATCGAGTATCAGCTCCATCAGTGCGTCCTGCATCTTCTGTTGGTGATGTAGGCACGTTGCCCGGCCAGAGTCAAGCATCACATTCCAGGAAGACAAGACCTCGGAAGGAGAGCTTTCGAAGCTCGGAGTTTCCAGATTACGCGGAGACATCTATGTCGGGTTCTCAGGAAGAACAACAGTATACATGTGAGCAGTCAGTAGCTGCTTCATCAAGCAGCGTGGATTCCAGCATCTCATGGATCTCAGCGGGATGGCCTTCATCATCCACCACAACTTCCAACAGGACGACGCCAGAGTACGAGGAAGACGAGCTAAGCATTGTTGCCAAGCTTCACAAAGCGGACACTCCTGAGCAACGAACAGCGGAGGTTACGAGACTAAGAAGGCACCACGAGCGGAAATTAGCAGCTTCCATCAGGAAAGGTGAAATCATCGCCGGTCAGCTTGCTGAAGCTTTGAGGAGTAAGGATGAGGCCGAGAGGACTCTCCAAACTGTGCTCAGAAGCCGTCAAAGGGCAGAAGCGAGGTTAGCTGCGGCTTTGAAGGAGCAAAAGGAGTTGCACGACTCTTTAGCAGCCTCGGCGAAAACCCGGGAAGAAGTTTCCAATGCGGCTCACAAAACTAGAGTTCACAACCTAAAGCTTGAACACGACCTAGCCCTTGTGAAGGCTGTTCTGGAGGATACTCAAAAGGTAAAATGTGACTGAGCTAGTCGATCTCTGAAATTGTTCCACGCTCATTTCATAAAACTGCATCTTCGCATGGTGATAGTAGTCGGTCGTGAGCCATTTTTTTCAACACTGGTCGGCCTGTTTTGTTCGCAGGAGCTACACTCAACGAGAGGAGTTCTTATCGGTGAGCGAACAAGGGCTTTCCAGTTACAGGTGAGAGCCTTCTCTGTCGAGTTTCTTGGGAAGGTTCATGCATGTAAATTGCGTCTTGTGAATCATGCCATATCAGTTTGTTCAGTGTCTAAAATCTTGAATTTTTGTTTGTGAAACCACGAACCAATGAATCTGCCATGTTTTTTACAGGTGGAGCTTTTCGATGTAAAGCAGAAGTTGCAGACTTTGGACCCTGGGCATATCCATGTACCTCGCGTTCAACAACCCATCATGGCTTGATGAATCACTGCCTGTGATCAGTGAGAGATGCACAATCCATATCATAGGAATGTATTTGGCCATTATAGAGCATACAATCATTTGTTTCCTCGTAGCGATGTCTTCTTTTTGCTCCGGTGGTATTGCACCTTTGTCTATATACGTGACATTCATGATATCCGCCCAGTTATATTAGGGTCTCATAATTTGTGGCTGCAAGGAGTCCATCCTTGTACATAGCAGTGCGTCAGAGACGGTTAGAATGTGTAAATGGCGAGGACGACATAATGGACTCCGGTGATTTGAATGTTTTCTACCGGACTTGAGAATATTTATGTAACTTCTTGTTCATGGTGAAAAACCTGAACCTTCTGTTTGGATACACCCCTTCTTCTACGGCCATTTGGTGTCCCGGTACATTCTCAAAAACATCTGCATGTTCTCGCCATTGCTATAAGACTGGTCTTGAGATCTAGGTGGAAAGAGCGGACTCTGAGCCGTCAGGCTTTAAGTCTTCCACCATCCTCTTGTTATTTCTCATTGCATTTATGGGCTTCCCTTTAGGAGGGTAAAGGACGGTTGTGGAACTCGGGATTCGGGAATACGTGGCCATGAATGAGAACTCCAGAACTCCAGAACTCTGTAACTTCACTTCGCAGGGCGTAATGAATGTGTACGAATAGGATGTGCTCCTCATCTGTGGAGACCTCACACGCAAGGCCCAACGGGAAACAAAGTTTCCCATGACGCACATGTGAAACGAGCAAGCCACATCTCTGGAGGCAAGGACAGATGGCCAATTGCCAAGTCCTTGTCCCCAGGGCAGCTAACAACCAATAAGAAACTCAATAAATCCACCCAATCGAGGAAGGGAAGAGATCAAATGTTCAGCATCACAGGCATCCCAAAGGGACAGAGAGGGGTGAAGACTTGGGAAAGACTAATAGGCATGCCGATGAGATAGAGCTGACTGATTTTGAAACAGCGCAGAAACATAACACGAGTCACTGTCTAGCAATAACTGTCGTGGAAGCTGAAGCGAAGTGCGTGAACAGAACTTCAAAAGTGTGAAAGTATTTACAGTGGCACACAAGGACACGCGTGTTCGTGCCTCGTACAGGAGAGCTTGCTTGTTCCAAACCCTGCCTCGGGAAATGGTAAACACTCGATTTCAAGGATACCACCGACCACTTGCAGAAGCGAGGGCCAGGAATCGATCTGATATGACGATCTGCGGCGGACGATCTTCTTCGCCGGGAGCGAAGAGCATGTCGAAAAGTTCCGATGTCACTGTCGGTCTATCGTCATCTCAGAGATTTGGCTACGAGGAGGAAGGGCGGGTAGGCATCACATGTGTTGGAGTGTGGGGCAATCTACGCGTCGAGGACTAGTGCTCTGCTGCTCGAATTCCAAGCACGCAGACTCAGAAGATCATGTGAAGGGCGAAGGCTTTCGAGCTCATCAGCAGGCTCCTTGCTAGGCATGGCGAACACGATGCTCAGAAACCCATCGCAGACACTTCCACTGTGAAGAGGCGGTTGCATGGGCGTCTGAGATCTTCTCAAGTCAGAATCGCCTTTTTGGCCGAAAGAGAAATCGATTCCGGAGGCCGGAAGTGGTCAACGAGAATTTAATAGCATCCTTCTCAGTTATGGCAAGTTATAAAAGCTTGGCACAACTGCCATCGCAGCATTTTGTCCACTCTCGATGATTCAATATTATTTTTGTTTTTCCAGTAGGTGAAACAACAACTGGAAAGCGCCTACGAATCTAGAAAGCTTGTGCGAGGATCAGCTCCATATCGGAGAGCACATGACATAAATCTTCAACCTCCAACCAATGGACTCCCAACGATAACGATCCAATATTATTATCGACCAAAAACTCCCCCCGAGGATTCACTCTCCTCTAAACGATGACGACCTCCAAGTACAACGACCGACAGCATCAGGTACACCACGCTCTCCACAAGCCTCAAACGAACAACAACCAACCTATACAGACAATAATGTACGAGGAATCAATCGACCTCCTCTTGAGACAACTACTAGACAAAGCGTAACTCTGGTCAGGTCAAGAGACTCCCCGTGGAGGACAGTCCTTCGTCTTCAAACGGTGTGCTGGTGTTCGTTCTCGTACATGGATTTCAGTGTGCTCTCAGCTGGCTTCCTTCTCCTGTCAGATACGGTAGATCTATTGCCTACAACAGATCTACCGTGAAGATGTCGATGAGCATTCAACCACGTTCGATTGACTGACAGGCTGACAGACTGACATACAGACTGACAGAGAGACTGCGCACAACATTGTAAACTGCCAAAGAGAGAGTGGATGGATGCTTGAGCTCGGAGGGAAGTAAGGTCAAAGTGGAGCTGAGAGGTAAAAAGACATGGACACGGGTGACGGTGTAGCGAGTCATCAAGCACGGTTGGCTCCATTGTAGCTGAAACGAAAACCTCTTCAGAGTCTCGGGCGGCGAGCCAGCCGTGGAGTACGATCGTCGGTCCCGGACTCGGGTCTCTGACATGCGTGAGTCCGAGGGAACCATGAATCGAGAATCCGGTAAACGTCAGAGCCTTTTCTTGAAGTCGAGGAGCCGGATCCAGCCAGAGCCAGAGCCAAAGGTGCTTCGCATGGAGCACAGCACAGTGCTGGGATCGAAGTGTCGGCGGTTTCGTCGTCACGACTGTTCGGCCTTCTGGCCTCTTGTGGAGACGGGAGAGGCTCTTCCCCATTGATTATTGCTCTCCAGGTGATCGGTCACCTACGAGCTCGTGCCTCGGCTCATGAATTTAGAACACAGTGCGTTTATGGTTTCGCACAAGGCTTATTACTGTCGCTCACCATGCAGTAACGGTAATGTGGTTCACAACACTCGTCATCAGCCAAAGCACTTTCACTTTCAAATATGAACAGCTGCAAGAGACCAGATGGACACAAGCAAGTCTTTATTAATCCTTGATGAAGTTTGACAAATGTTTTCATTTGTCAGACTTCAACTGGCGCACGAGATATTGTTTTTTGAAAAATGCCATACTTGTGGCATCTTCAAACACACTCGCTCTCTCGGGACTTTCCAAATCAGTTTTATTTTTTCACATTTTCTCCACATGGAGGTGTTTGAACTCCCTAAAACTCCTGGTGCCAAAACTCACTAAACAGAGTTTAAGATACTCGCTCTCTCGGGACTTTCCAAATCAGTCTTATTTTTTAACATTTTCTCAGAGTTTAAGATACTCGCTCTCTCGGGACTTTCCAAATCAGTTTTATTTTTTTACATTTTCTCCGCTTGGAGTTGTTTATAAAGTCCCGAAAACTCTTTGTGCCAAAACTCAGTGAGCAGGAGTTTAACTGAGGGTAAAAGAGCAAGTAACATATTTACAGTTGCGCTACTACTCCTGCTACTAGGTCCAGTATTTACAGTTGCGCTACTACTCCTGCTACTAGGTCCAGTATTTGTTCAAAAACATAGCCGAGTCTGCTGAAACTCTCTCACCGTCCTGGTTGCGATGCCAAGTGAAGTAGGCATGAGTGTGGTTCTGAATCTCCAATAATCCATGTCCAAAACTCGCCTCTCGAAAAGCTGAGTATGCAGGCTGAGGGTCCGTGAATCTGGAATAACACAAATGTTTAGAATTAACCATTAATAAAACTCTTTCTAATTCTAAGAAATTCTAGATGGATGATGAATGTGCAAAAATTTGAATGTATATAACCACATATCACTTACGTTCCCGACAGTCCTTCCACATTACCGCCATCTCCAATAACCACATAAACTGGTGCAGAGTTGTCATTCTTAGGTGTACATAGTCCGTTCACAATGTTATATTCAACATTGGAAACCGGATACTGAAACAAAGTAGATATGCAAGTCCGTCAATAGTTCACAATGTTATATTCAACATTGAAACTGGATACTGAAACAAAGCAGATATGCAAGTCCGTCAATAATTGAATGAAATATTCATAAAACATCCATTCTCTGATGGGTGAAAGACAAATGAATAGGAAACTTACTGTTCTTTCGTATGCATGCACATGTCCTGAAAAAACTATATCAACTTTGTATTTCACTACAAATGGTTCGAAGATGACTCGCATAGTTTCACCCTCGTAGTAGTGATAGCTGTTGCTGTTGTACCATGGTGAATGCACCAGAATTATCAACCATGGAGTAACGCTTCTATCCACAGCTTCCAAGGTCTGCAAAAACCACTGATATTGCGGTGTATACTTTCCTGCACAATACACCACATCCACAGAAACATGATAAATATGATGTATTTTGATATTAAAAAACAGATTCTAAGACAGAACTATACAACAAATCATTGAAAAATTGATTAGTACAAATATTCATGGAGCCGAACTCAAGAGGAACAAGAGGAACAACATGATACCAAGAATTTCAATGGTACATACCATAGGCTGAATAAGAAGACAAAACTATGATTGTGGCAGGTCCTCGCTTGATCGAGTACCACAGGGGAGATGTGCTTCCTGAAGCCTCAAATGGCACATGATATCGATGTATGTATGGCTGAAAAGGGATAGTTTCACCCTGCAACAAGCAATATCCGTGAGAAACAAAAGTAAACTGGTCATAATCATACGCGGGGAAAGCAAAATTAGCCCTGAGTCCACATATGTACCCCTATCAGTTTCTACCATGCTGTATTTTCACACTGTGAAATCAATATATTCTGAACTTTTCAACTATACACAAAGATCAATAACAGTTTGCAAGTTATACTAAACACACATGAAAGTGAATTCAACCAGGCATCACAAGCAAGATATGAATACTTACAACTTCAGGAAGGTAATCTAATTCGTGATTGCCTGCTGTCCAGATCCACGGCTGATATGCTGTGCTAGGCTCCACCAGTCGACCCCACGTATCCCAGCGAACGTTATTGTCAAAAGGATAGGCATCAGCGTAAGACAAGTCTCCTACATACAAAACTGTTTGTCCGAAACTCTTCATATAGTGCTGGAGTGTAGACACTGAATCCATAGTCTGCCCAAGATCACCTGAATTTCAACACGAAACCTGGAATTTAAATCATTCATATAAATCATTCATATACAACTGGCCAAGATCACCTCAATTCTAACACGAAACCTGGAGTTTAAATCATTCATATACCACAAGACTATAGACGTTCCCCGATTATCCAAACGTGGAGTTTGAGTCATTCATGTATAACAAGAATATAGAAGTTCTGCACTACCAAAATTGAATCCTTACCAATAACACCGAAGGCGTAAGGGGTCTCCAGTTTGCTTTCTGGAGGTGTCACGAACGTGAATTCTCGAGCTGCGTCTCCAGTTCCCAACGTGTAATAGTACCTGGTCCTAAACTGTCATGATCAAAATATTATGTGAATACTTAAAGCACTGGATAAATCAATTTGTAATAACACATCACAAACTTTTGGGGTGAAAACGAATTGGCTGCTTCAAACCCGCTAATTACAGCTTTGTGAATATATCCAGATTTGTAAGTGTAGAAGCTGTGAATACTTAAAGCACTGGATAAATCAATTTGTAATAACACATTACAAACTTTGGTGGTGAAAACGAATTGGCTGCTTCAAACTTACTTCAAGGCCGCTAATTACAGCTTTGTGAATATATCCAGATTTGTAAGTGTAGAAGCTGTAAGTGCTAGCTTCTCCCGTGACAGACGTGGTGTACTTGGAACCTGGAGCTTTCCCGTACAATACTTTACTATCTCCAGCTTCGTCCGGGGTGATCCATGATATTATGATAGCTTTTCCTTCGAAATCTCCTTGATGTATATGTACCTGCAAGTCAAAATGCTCACTTCATATCGTAAGTGTTCAAATCCATCCATAAACATCCATCAACTTTGATATCAAGTTATAGATTCGTCACTGCAAAGAGCAAATTATTCCCTGTCAGAGAAAACAACGCACGAAGATAAGGATATCTGAACAACAAATGGATTACATTCAAATGTCAATTACCACTCAAATGTCAATTACCACTGGTTTCACAGAGTGCCATGAATAGGAAAGTAATGTAATATTGTTATAATAACATATAATTAACTAAAACAATATCAATCACAAGGGCAAGCAGGAGGCACTCAGATCATCCATTCAGAGACCTCAATTCGAATCCTGGACGGATATAGCCTGATAATAATACGTGTTACTCCTACTAGAAACCTGAAATAAATCCTAGTATTCCATCAATTAATTGAGAACTCTAAAATTTAAGTGTTGCTGACCTGTTGAGGAGCATTATATCCTTTGGGGATCTTGAAATAAGTACTGTTTTCCGGGAGGTCAACACCTTCTTCCAATCTACGCATGTATCGACTCGTTGTGCCTGCACTGCTCCAGCTCGTGCAGCACAGCACCACCAGCAGAGTGATCCCGAGACAGGTATTCATTTTCTGCACCCACACATACAGAGCAGACACATTTGTGAATTTGTGAATGCGGAATAAGCTCAATACAATAATGCTTTGAACCATCCATAGCATTGTTCACTCTGAGTGCAAACAATGCTCTCCATCAGTCGTCAAAAGCCTAAGGCAGACTTTTGACGAAGGTGCGCAAGTCAGGAGAAGGCCTGTATATGGACTGGCTCGCTTATATGGACTGGCTCGCTTGATGGCTTCCCTTTGCAATTGGATACTCTCTAAACCCTTCATACCTTCGGGCACATTACAGGCAGGTGCACATGATCCTCGTCAAGGTCGAATACGGTGCTCATGCCCAGCACTCGACCTCATCTGTTTTGCTTTAGGTTTTGATACTGGCTTAAACCTGATAAGATACACGTAATTTCCACGACTCCCCTGACGCGCTATGGTTCATGCATCACGTAGATGAACCATCGTAGAAGACACAGAACGAGGTGTGCACATGAAGGGGGAAAAAGCCTCCACCCTCTTGTTGTTTTCAGTTGATAGACAGACAAAAGATGAAACAGGGACCACAGACAAGGTCTACTCGTGGCATCACATAATCGTAACAGAGTCCGGCTACTTCATCAGTGAGTAAAATAGTCATTTCCTGAAGTGAAATCAAAACCTAACAAACCGATATATGTTGCCCACACCCATGGTAGACCAATGATGGCATAGGGCTTAGAGCTAGAGATACTGGGGTCTGAAGAAACAGAGTGCAGTTATGAAAGTACAAAAAACGAAATGCCTAAGCACAATGCAACGGGCTTATGAAAAGCTCCCGCTGAAAAATCTGCCGAACACAGAGAGAGAGAGATTCCGATGGCTGGAAATCCGAGGAGGTACAACTTGCAGCGGCTCACACAATTTGAGCCGACACACATAAACTACAGGCAGATGCGATTGTCTTGTTTGCATGTAGCAAGTTAAGCAACGATGGCATCAACAAGGTCAGCGCGAGAGATATGATGACAAAAACACTTTCTAGTAGATTACCCTAAGTACTCGGCATCGAAGCATCGACAAGATAACACCAATCAAAGGACCTTGCATAACAAGTAAGTGAAATTTGACTTGTGAGCCTGTTGTGGAGGAAAATACGAGCTAGGCATTGAAATAAAAAGAACAAATTTTTCTTCTTCTTCTTAGCTAAAACTAGCTCAGTTCACAAGCAAGAATATGGACGGAAAAGCTCCGACAGACAGACAGTAACCGAGATCCGATGAGAGTTTGATCCCACTCAGCTGAATCAACAGAAGTAAGGACGAAAGAAAAGACAAGCTGGCATCGAGTGTTGAGATTTCGACAACTCAGTGTCCAGATACTAACAATCGAGTGAGAGTTTGGCTTTTCACAAAAATCGCAAAGCTTTCCACAAGCAACTCAAAATGCTGGCACGAGAACAGTACCATACTGGGGGTACGAACCGAAAACGTTCAAATCAACATGCCTCGCATACCAGGCCTTTACAATAGCTCAACAGACTCCACACAAAGTGCATAGCATGTTCCGTGAGCAGAACCCCGAGTGCTGAATGGTCAGTTCTAGACGGAGTTACCACCCGGAAAGAGAGAGGATACTAGGGTGAAGGGAGGACGTGAACTTCAGTTCCCATTGTTCAGTAAATCAGATTTGAACAGGAAAGCCACAACACATATTTTTACCGAGGGCATCAACATCATATGCATAAAAAAGCAGCGGCTCCACTCAATTCCTGTTCAACTGTTCAGGAAAAGAAAACTGATAGTTATCAAAGCACCTTCTTTCAGTTCTGGAAAACCTAAATATGCCTTTCAGCTGGAGTTGAAGGAAGAATCTGGAACAGAACAAATTCTCTGAGTGCAAACAATGCTATGCATATGTCGTCAAAAGGCTAAGGCAGACTTTTGACGACGGTGCGAACCAGGACACTTGGCTAAAACCAAGTGTCATGTCTATTGTGAAGAAACGACTCACCCGAAATAGTTCTATTTCTGTTAGCTGCGCTTTTGTACTCTTCACAAACCACAAGAATGAGCAAAGGAGTGGTGCTCACTCATTGGAATATCATGGCTGTCATTCTGCAGCTTCTTTATGATGCTCGTCCAGAGATCAGGGACAGGAGATACATGGTCATCATGTTTATGGGCTGGCCGTGGTGAGCATTGCGCAATATTTTAGACCGGGAGCTTTGATCATTATACCCAGATTCGACGCGCAGCTGCTTCTTAGTTCCATTCAGACATACAAAATTACCAACCTTCCCGTGGTACCACCTATCATTATTATGCTTGCCAAAAGCAAGGAAGTTGATCGATATGATATGAGTTTTCTGGTTAAGATCACTACTGGTGCGGCTCCTTGTGGACTGGAATTGACCAGGATTTGAAGTTGGATCCACGAGCAGGCAGCCAAATTGTTTCTGCTGAAGTCAATATCGTCACATGGCCCGACAAGGATGGTCATGAGCTGATCACACTGGCATTTGGGAGCACTTTGATGTTCGACCATGATGTGACCTTAGGACCTCAACAGGACTCGAAGCTCGTGATTAGAAGGCAGGAAATGGCTGGCATGGACAACTTCGCCGGGACGGATTATTGTCTTCTTTTTACTTCATTTCTGAACATCAACTTCTGTTCACCGTCACTACTCACACTTGCGAAGAAAGATGTGGCAAGCAACTCATCGTATAATGCAGACACGAATGCAGACTCCTTTGTCATCCGGGGCCATGCCCTTCGACCCTGCAGCTGGTACAAGTCTCATGCTTCTGCGGTGCCAAATCCGAGGTCCGTTGATGCAAATTCTTCTACGAGAGCACGTGCGGAATACTCTCGCATGCAGGACACATGTCTGCAATATAGGGTGGACGCAAGGGCAGAATCTCATTCCTGCCAGTTTGCATAAGCCAGGAAACTGGCTGGAATGAGATTCTGCCCTTGCGGCAAGAAAGAGCACAAGGCCGCGAGAGGGAGGCCGACGCGCAAAATCGGGCGAAGGCAGACCTGCGCGCGGTGCGGACGACCTACCTCCCCAGCCGTCACGCAAGTAAGATTGCACACAGTGCGGACGACCAACCGCGCGGTGTGTGCGGCGCGAAATACTTCCTTCAAAGTCTGGTTTTTTCCTCGGGGACGATCTAGGAGAGCGAGCGGCGCGTGGTAGTGCGTCCTCCCCTCAGTGAAAGAGCAGCCGAGCAGTGCGGCCACAGGTCGAGAGCCGTCCGGAGGACGAACAGCGACGTCGGCTGTTGATCCGCGAAGTGCGTAGCCCGAGCGGCAGGGTGACACCGCGGTCAAAAGAACAAAGCAGATCAGAGGCCAACATTTTGCTTCAAATCTGCATCCAGACCAGACCATAACCATCAGCAGCGACCGAAGCCCACCCATACCCACCCACGCTACTCCAATTACGCAAATTCTCGGTTGGATCTTGGCAAACACTGCCATTAGCATTACTTGTGCGCACCCATGCCCAAGGAAAAATAATGTCACCCAAAACCCACCCATAACGCATAGGCTTGGGTGGGTTTGGGCATGGGTATAGGCTCTGGAGCAGATGCAGCAGGTTCCGTGATCCTCGCTGAACGCATTAGCGTTCGGGTCTCTTTTGATTACAGTGCTCTCAGACAGTCTTCAGTACAGTATTCTCAGACAGTCGAGAGTCTCGATGACGGGCAGTGTCCGTCTTGGCAAGGCCCCTTTGCAGTCCTTACAAAGCACTAGCCCCGGGCAATCGATAACTCTCTGCTTTTAAACTTTTCAGCGTGTCCTTCATGAGACGAATGTCGACGAATTCGCAACGTCAAATGCCAGTAGAAAACGGAACTCAGAAGTTGTCACAGGAATCTGCAGAGCGACGATTATTAGAAGCGGGGTAGCAGCCATGATGCCCTCACTGGCAAAAACTTTCAGCACTTGCGATCAAGATTGCTTGATCCTGGGAACGCGCTGAAATCAGCTCTTTCACTAATACCGGCTTTTCAAAGGATGCAGGATTGGATTCAGGAATCTCCCACCGGATAGAGAGAGCGGCGGTGCTCCTCGGAACATGAACTCAGTCATAAAATTTAACTACAATTGTTGAAGGAAGAGCACCGAACCTGCGGCCGACGGCCCCCCTTCCCGTCGGGAAGAGGACTTTGGTCGCAGGGGCGGAGGAGGTGATGGCATCATCTCCGCGGAACCCGAAGGAAAAAGTCCCCGAATCCCGACCGAGGCAAACACACGGCATCCCACGCTCGCCGGCCACCAGACCTCAGAGCCCACGCGCACCTTCAGGAGCGCAGGAGTTCTGGAAGTAGATGGCTCCAGTGGCCAGCTCCGTCGTCGCCTCCATAGCTATAGAGTCCAGGATTTAGACAGCTTGTACTGGTCGTTCAAAGTCGATGAGCACAGGCGCTTCAATGGATATCGAAGGAGGCGAAACCCTCTCATTCTTTACGAGCTGAGGGGTAAAACAACTACTACCAAAGGCTCAAACTCTATACGAGACTCTTTCAAAAATCGCTAGATCAGAATCTAAATTTCACCTAATCTTATGTATATATGTAGCTTAAGGCTGAATGGACTGCAACTATGGTTGTAGATAAGCACTCAATCACCTTCAAACAATGTAAAGCCTCACCTCTCCAATACATTGACGAAAGATCCAAATTTGTGCAGTTCTGACAAGGGCTCCAAATAGTCAACATTCTTTCGTCGCCAGAGTTTCATTCCTGTGTAACCAGAGTGTACTCAGATTTCTCCTTCTGGAAAAACTAACACCAGAATGTCTGATATTACCGCAGTTGATGGCTGTAATATCGGATCCACTACTAACTGCAAGATGAACATTAGTTACTCACTAAGGATCTGCCAAGTATGACTCCTCGGAATCAATCTTCTCTAGCTAAGGAAAAGGTCTTGTCACGACCTTAACAAAAAGCGCCCTGAAGTCTGGTGCCCATGATTTGACACTGATTAAAATGATAGGGTGAAAAGAGAGGAGCATGGAATGGGGTTGTACTTAAATACTCGGTAGTAAACGATTGTTCAGTATCCAGTTTATTACGATATAGTAGTTGTAACTTCAGGAACAGCTTGACTTTCTCAGCTGACAGGATTCACAGATTCGACTTTGACACTCAAATCAGAGATTTGACTCTCCAGTTATGCCCTGCAGGTAGGCTTCGAATTGCCATGAACATGCAAGCTCAACTTGAGCATCACTTCACTTCACTTTGTAGCATGCTAGACTTGAACTTGAGGACCTTCAATACGACAGCACCAGCATGTGCTTAATTGTACGCTCCATTACCACAGCGTCTCACGTGACCTTGCATTATTCCCATCAGGATTTCCGTCTTGGGATGAATACCGAGCTCAGTGTTCTACATACATACGTTCTTGTGGTTTCCTGCCTGTGTACTAGACTAGGCTCCATAAAGGAGGCTCCTTGTCCTTTACAATCTGATCGTGTTGTGTTTGTCGTGAGACTCAGTTGTCATTGAGAGCGGATTTCCGCCCTATGGACATTGTTCCATGTTAATCTGCTCATCTTCCGTCCACGTCATCACGCACCCCTCTCTCTCGCCCCCGTCCGCCACAACGCGAACGTCCTCATCGCGCCCCACGAAGTCTAACACCTCACCGACTGGCCTCTTCATCGCCCCGCTAAAGGCTTAGGGGCCAGCCGACGTCCCGAACGAGCCCACAATCCGGACCATCATTGACGCCGGTCTCCCGAGGGCGTCCCATAGCCCCCACCGACCCGCATCCCGCCCCGCTGAAGGCAAGACGCGAGCCGGACCGCAGACGAAGGACCCTCCCAGGATTCCGGCGAGCGCCGTCGACGACCGCCCCTCACGGGACGGCACCCCGAAAAACGAGTCACGCAATCATGACGGGTTCAGCGTCGTCCTGACAACGAGCTAAGTCATTTGATTCAAGTGACAAAAACAAACTTGGGGCGCTACAAAGACCTACAAGTGAGAGTGTTACACGAAGAACAAGATGTCGCCAAGCCGGAAAAAACAGTCCTCAAGGTGTTACACGTACGAGAAAATCACGCATAGGTGGAGAAAATAGATGACAACAGACTTCTGTTTGTTAAATAGGCCTGGACTGTTATCTTTGTTTTGATTTTAACAATCTTATGAAATAATCGAAACGAAAATAAGTTACCAATTCTATAACAGCTGACACCTGGACTATTTGCACCGCTGGCGCGGACTCACTATAACCGCTCAAACCACAGCCAGAAATCAGAAGAGAGAAAATAACAATTCAAGGTCAAAAAACCCCAAAAAGCCCGCGTTGTAAAGACCTGTCTTAGCTACTTCGATGTCTCTTGCATGTAGATCGAAAGATGTAGCCAGAACCGGAGGTCTGGAAACTTTTCACATCATTTCGATTTTCAGGCCTAAGTGTAGTAGTACATCACGAGGAATATCTTAGCGCGGCAATTAGCCAACGCAAAAAGTAACCACAGCAAACCCGGCGCAGCTCGCAATTCGCAGCATTGCGGCATATCGGTTTCTTTGAACCGCCTGCAGGGATTTAAGTCCAACATTACAAGGGTTCTTTGAGGTAATCACTACAGTAATTGTGTTGGAAGTAATGACTTAAATCGATATGAAACTAGTGAAAGTAGTATCCCTCACCTAGCAAAGGAGATAACGATAATCGAGAACATCTACGGGCAATATACCTGACTACAAGGAAGGGTAAGAAGACAAAGAAAATCTAACACTACAGATTATCCCAATCTGATTACTACAATGCACTCGGTAACTAAATACTAACAAAAGCTCCCCTCGAGGGTATTAACGTACCATTCTAGTTGCAGCACATTGTATTGGAGTCTTATGAAGAGACTGCTTGAATATCGCATAATGAACAAACTCCAATAAATTTTCTATGCTTTTCAAATTTGTGACTTGTTAGTGACTTCCCGAGCAACTCTGCAGAGTTTTCTTCTGTGTGAATGTAATTGAGATCAATTTCCCCTTCTAACACCCCTTCCCCGAAGAAATGGTGTTTGCTTTCCATGTGCTTGGTCTTGGCGTGGAACAAGAGGGTTTGGGCTAGCTTAATAGCACTCTAGTTGTCGCAAAATAGATGCAAATCTGCCATGATTGGTGTCGTTGCATACCTTAGATCGTGAATTATTGTAGAATAAGGGAAAAAAGTGGAATCTTCAGAGAAGGAAGGAATTCCAATTCTTGTATTAAGCACTTGAGATACACAATCCCTTTGACCCCTTCCAACAAGGCCTTGTATTGAGCTTCAGTTGTGATGTCAGAAACTGTGGGTTCTTGCTTGGTCAATCAAGATACAGGTATGTTTGCAAGCTTAAAAATGTAAGCTTCAACGGATTGGCGGTTATTAGAACAACTAAGGTATTCTGCGTCATTGTAGCCTTGGATATGGAGTTCTCCCTTTTTGTAAAGTAAGCCAAAGTTGACAATGCTGTTGAGGTATCATAAAAGTTGTTGAACTGCATTCCAATGGGCCATATGCGATTTATGCATAAACCGACTAAGAAATCCAACAGCGTACAAAATATCAAGGCGAATGTGACAAAGATAAATGAACTTACCGACCAGATGACAATATTTGAGCTGTCAATAAGTGGCATATTTGTATCTGCCTCAAGAACAAGTTCAACAAGAAGTGGAATTGATTCAGTGAGTGATGCGTATGAGTTGCAATCACTAAGTAAATCCGTAGTGTAGCTGGTTTGATGCATAAAAATCTCTCATGTATTGATATGCACAATGCACACCCCAAGATAACGAGACTCTACCTAAGTCTTCAATTTATACCGTAAGCTAAGGTTGAGACTTGATTTCAGTGACACGAGAAGAACTACTACAAAAAATTAGCAGGTCATCAACGTAAAATGATAGTACAGTGATAGTTTTATCTTCATGTAAGAAATATAAATTGGGATCTAACTGACTTTTGGTCCATTTTTCGGAGCAAAGATACATGTCAATCTCCTCATACCATTGACGAGGAGATTGTTTGAGCCCGTATGGAGACATTTTCAACAAACACACCAACTGCTTTCTGCTTGGAGGCTACTGCATGTATATCTGCTATTGTAGCTTTTCATTAAAAAAAGCAGTAATAAAGTTCATATGATGCAAAGTTCAACTAGGAGTCACAAAGACTGCTATCATTGCTTGAAGAGTACATCATCAGACTACAAGAGCAAAGGTCTCGTAGAAATCTACTCCATATGTTTGCTACAAGTCACAAGCAACAAGCCTGGCTTGGTGACAAATCCGTGTGAGATTGATCTACTGTTTTGCTTTATAGATCTAACATGAAGTTAGTGACTTTTTGCCTTGGGAAAGATCAACGAGTTCCCAAGTGAGATTAGCAATAAAAGCATTAACTTTTCTTGCATTGCTTTCCATCATTCTAGATGAAGGTTTGCTTGGAGGAAAGAAATCTGATCATGAATTAGTTGGATTGCCTCAACAGCATGGAGTTTGTGAGGTGCAAAGATAGAATAATCGTCAAAGCAAGCTAGTAGTCGTGGCAGCCTTGAAGAGTTACGTCGTGGAAGAGTTATGTCGGAGACATTGGAGGCTGCAGTAGTGTTGGATGTTGTAGGCAGTGCTTGAGCTAGTGATTCGTCTGGTTGGTGAGTATTCAAGGGAGGAGTGAAATGAATTGGATTATAATTGTTTTACTTTGATGATGACCGAGTAGGAAGCGTAGAGTCATCATCAAGAAGGGAGTAAAAGACAGTCACTAAGATGAAAAGGTGTCTCACTAAGTAGGGACTTTTTTCCGAGTGAGACTTTGAAGCCCCAATCACTCTCTTGAATAGTGATGACAGCTATTTTATGTGGAAACACGTTTTTCACTAAAGTGACAAACTATTTAAAACAGTCAATAGTAGCATTTTTATTTCAAAGTAAGTAGGTACATGTATACCGTGAAGTCATCAATAAAAGTGAGCATATAAATAAATTTGACTCCTTCTACAATTAGACCACAGATGTTGATATGGATATGCACCAGAGGACGAGTTTTTGCTTGACAGTCTTCTTACTCTTGTGGACGTGGTGTTGATTGGACAAAACACAGATGACGCATTTATGATCAGGGCCACATGGCAGGTAAGGCAAACCTTCCACAAGGTGTTTGGAGTACATATGGTAAGTCATCTAGAAATTCAAATGACATAGCTAATGATGTCAAAGGATTTTTGTGTCAAGGGGTGCTATAATTTTGAAAGTCGATATGTCTTCGGCAATCCCAACAAAATCAAGATAGTCAAAAGATCTAAAATGTTGTAGAGCTGCATGAACCTTTGTGAGTAGTTGCTTGGATTCTTTAGAAAAGTGAGGATGAAAAGACTTCATCTTATACAATCTACTCTTGGAATCTCTATTTGCGTACAGAAATATAATGATAAGATATTTTTCATCTAGAAAAAAAA